TACAACATGCAATCGGCCGGAAGTCTGAGACTTGGGTCGCGTGGGGGCCTTTGCGGACCATTACTAAAGTGGTGTGATTCCATTGCTTGAGGAGTTGCCCATTTGCAAAGAATTCTTGCACGGCCAAGGTGAGGTATTTCCCAACGATGTCCCAACTTTTGCGAAAAAACAAGGAAGTATACCCATCCGGTCCGGGAGCCTTGTCACTTTCAATGTCATTAAGAGCGTCTTTGATTTATTTTTTGGAGACCGGGGCAAGGAGGGCATGTTGTTTATCTTGGGAGAGAAGCGGGCCATGTCGGATGATGTCGGGATCTATGTCCTCCGTTGGGTTCCTAGAGCCAAGTAGCCTTTTAAAGTGATTACCAAACTCCTTGGACACATCTTCAAGAGATGTAGTCATACTCCCGTCTTCTTTCTCAATTGAGGCAATGAAATTCTTCTTGGTCTTCCTTTTTACAATGTCATGATAGAATCCGGTGCATTTGTCCCCTTTAATTTGGAATTGGCACTTCGCTTTTTGTTGGAAGAAGTGCTTCTCCGCTTTTGCTAGGTTGATGGAGTTGAGACGGAGTCCGGGAAGTGAAGCCTTCACCTCCAAGTCATTTGGATTGTCGTGGAGTATTTCTTGAGCTAGCTTGAGAGCTAACTTTTCATTGTTGGCACGGGTGGATATTTGAGAGTAGTGCTCGGCGTTGAGGTTGGAGAGCTCGATTTTCAAGGCCTTGAGACGGCCGGAGAGTTTGAATTGCTCCGTTCCCCGTATACTTTGGGCCCAAGCTTGTCCGACTCTCGGCTTGAAATCGTTGTGCTCGGCCCACATGTTGAAGAACCGCCAAGGTGACCCTTTTCCCCTAATGTGCTCGAATAATGAGACAACACAAGAAGAGTGGTCGGAGATGCCCGGGGCAAGGAATGTAGCTTGGCAAAAAAGATCCTCTTGGAGCCATTGATTGTCCACCATGGCACGGTCGAGCTTGGACCATATTGAGTTGTTTGTCCAAGTGTGGTAGAACCCGGTAGAAGGGGCATCCACGACGTTATGAGTATCACAAAATTCGGCAAGATCCATGGTGTCTCGATTGGTGACGGTCTCCCCATTGATTCTTTCATCCGCCCGGAGAATCGTATTGAAGTCGCCCAAGAGTAACCAAGGCAAATTCACTCGCGACTTTGTGCTATCAAGGTCTCGCCAAAGTTGTTTGCGGTCTCCTCGACTATGAAGCCCATAAACAAAGCTAACGAGGAATGTATAGTTGCTAACCTTGTTTGTGAGCGTAGCCGAGATGGATTGAGCGAGGGTGTCCACAATAGATACCTCCACTTTGTCCGGGTTCCAAAGGATAGCAATACGACCATGGCTAGTGACTCCAAAATTCTCACAAAACAACCACCCCTTAAGGCGGTTGTGCACGAGTCGAGAGAGACGTCGGTGGTCCGTTTTTGTCTCAATAAGTCCCAAAATATCAATATTATTTTTCTGGATGAGGCTAATTACCTCATCTTGTTTTAGGGGCGAGTCGAAGCCCCTAATATTCCAAGTGGCAACGATCATTGTTTG